CATCAAGGTAAATGGGATTCAGTAATAGAATTGTTTTGCACTGGTCAGATAAGATGGACAATTATAGGTACTATACCCAGCTAATGGAAATATTGTTTTAAAGCTGGGATGATTTCCAAAACAAACACTTCCTTAATGAAAACAAGTCAATGTGATATACACCCAAGGTTCCTCTAGATCCTTGACAAGATGACTTACTGGTGGGCAGAGTGAAAGCAACTGCCAATACTCTGTCCCTTTAACCTTTGAAATCCTTTTTGACTGATTTAAAAGAGCCCAGTAGCTGTGTGCACCATTACCTTAGCTGTGTTTTATCACAGATGCATGATGGTTACTGATGACAATGTTCTCTTAGGTGTGCACACAGTACTTGACTCTTGACAAAGTGTTTCCCTGTTTATTTCATCAGATCCTCATGACAGACCCACTTTATTTTATTTTAAAAAATGTGTTTTATTGAGCTTTTGGTGGAAGTTTACACAGCAAGTCATGTTCCTGTTTGATAATCTCCACACAAATTGTCCAGTGACATTAGCTACGTTTATCGCAAGGTGTCAGCATTCTCTTAAGTGCCTTCTGTTTGTTCCCTTTCCAGCACTCTAGTTTCCCTGCCCTCTTACCTTCTCGTCTTTGCTTTTCAGTTATTATTGACCTTTCAGTCTCATACTGATGGTTTTTAAGTAGGGCACCGATCTTGCGGGTAATAGCCTTTATTTTGTGTACCACTCTGCTATTTCACTACAAAGTAATCTTAGGGGATAGGCTGGGTTCTAGGTTTAAAGAGTGTCTCAGGGTGATGGTCTCAGGGAGTCCTATGTTCTTTATTGTCCCAGTTTGCCTGGCTTTTTTTTTTTTTGGGATAAGAATGAGTTTTCCATGTTTTTCTTCCATTTTGTATGTGACTAGCTCTTCTGGTTTGAATGATCAGTGGTGGTCTCCAAATACTATCTAGTTCTGGTCTCAGGGTAGATGACTCATCTGGTTTGTTTAGACTTGTTTCTTCTCTGTGCTTTTGGTTATCTTCTTATTGTTGCTCCTGGCAAGTCAAAGACCTATAGTTGTATCTTATATGGCTGCTTGCAAGCTTTTAAGACCTCAGAGGCTACTCACTTCAGTAGAAGGCAGATCATGATTTTTGTGAACTGTTTTATGCCAGTTAACTGAGTTGTCTCATGAGAGTATGGTCCTAAGTCTTCAAACCCAGAAAGCCAATCTTGGAAGGTGTTTGGTTATGTCTGAGGAGTATATGTTTTTGTGTCATCAATGAATAGACATGCCTGCACCCACATATCTGTATGTGGATGTAGTGAGCACAGCACAACCAAAGTAAAAATGAGTGTTTGAGCACATATGGATGGGTATAGGCAAACTGGTATACAGGTAGGTACAGGTGTGTACATAGGTAGTGAAAACAGACAGAAGTATCTATCGAAAAAAAACGAAACTCACTGCTGTTGAGTTGGTTCCAACTCATAGTGACCCCTCCTTGGGTTTCCAAGGCAGTATTTCTACGGAATTAAATTGCCCAATCTTCCTTCCAAGGAGCGGCTGGTGGGTTTGAATCATCTGCCTTCTGGTTGGCAGTCTAAGGCATCTGTGCTCAAGCACTCATTTCTCTTTGGTTGTGCTCTGCTTACTACATCCACATTAGCACATTTCTTGTCACCAAAAGTAGTAAGTCTCTCAGGTCTAACATGTACTTTCCCCTCCTACCTGCTGTCCTTAGTAACCACCATGAGCATTGGTCTCTCTCCATTTACATATTCTTGTCTTATTATAAAAGAGGGATCATACAACATCTATCCTTATATGCTTGACTTATGCCCTCCAGGTAACAGGCCCACTTCATAAATGAGGGGGTAGAGACATGGAAAGGATTGTATTTCTGCACTCAAGAAATAATGAGAAGGGGAGAAGCTAGGATATAGAGGAAAGAACAAAAAGTACTAATCACTAACATTCCAAGTAATTTTTCCTGATTTCTCTAGGATCAACATTCCATGTATTTGCAAAGACACATGAAGGAGAACTGAAAAATTGGATCAGAACTGTATCAACAAAAGAATTAGATAATTTACCATACCTTTTTTTTAAGGTGGTGGTGGTGTAGTGCCCAAGGCAGTTGACTGCTAACCAGAGGGTTGGCGGTTCAAACCCACCAGCCACTCTGTGGAAGGAAGCCTTGGGCAATCTACTTCCATAAAGATTTACCACCACAGAAACCCAAAGGGGGTTGCTGTGAGTCAGAATTGACTCGATGGCTGTGAGTTTGTTTTTTTCCTTGGTTTTACCATACCTTCTTACTGAGCATGCAGATTGAACTATGATGGGCATCTGGGTGCATAACTGGGGATAAGCTTAGTGTTTTTAAAAAAAAAACCCTGATATGTTTTTTCAAGGTACACTTATAGGAGCAGGAAGACTCTGATTCTACTTCTTCAGAATATAGAATTAACTCCTGTCTGCAGTCTACTTTGAAATGTTCAAACACATGCTACATTGATGGATGGAGAGCTGGATGGATATTCAGACAAACATGTTACAAAGCACTAAGTAAAATGTTAATCTAGGGAGTGGAAATAGTGGTGTTCTTAAGAAATTATTTCAACTTTGCTGTATGTTTGAGGTTTTTCATAATAAAATGTTGGGAAACAATGAAATAAAGCTTGAATTCACTGCATAAAAAAATGGCAGTATCTGCAGAGACATTTCCTAATGTTGTGATCTAAGTTTTCCCTGAACAGGGCAAATACTGACATAGTGGCTAAGGCACTTGACTGCTAACCAGAAGGCTGGCGGTTCAAACCCACCAGCCACTCCTCGGAAGGAAGATGGGTTTCCGTAGTGATACTGCCTCGGAAACCCAAGGAGGGGTCGCTATGAGTCAAGTCCGACTCAACAGCACATAACAACAGCAACAACATATGTAAACTAAATAACCTTTTTTTTTTTTTTTGTCTTTGCTCTTCTTCAAGATATTTGCCATGTGCACAGCCAATTAAAACTTAGTTGAATACCATCCAAAATTTGAGAGGAAAGACATAATGATTATTTGGGAACCGTATTGGCTCTTTGGAGGGAAATATTGAGATCAGTCATCTCATTGCTAGAGTTTGACTTATATCTTCATACAAAGCCCATGTGTGTGTCTGTGCTTATCACAGTTCCCTGCACATAGAAAGCAGTGCATGAAGCCTTTTGATGATGATGATGATAATGATGGTGATGGTGTTGATGATGATGATGGTGATGATGGGAGACCTGGGAAATGCAACCTTGATCAACCACTCCCATCTGTAAGCATCAGTTAACTACACTATAATGAGCAATTGGTTTAACATTTCTTCCCATTTCCCAGATTGCTCTCCGAGAGGCCCTGTGTCCCGGAAAACTTCTGCCAGTGTTGTTACAGGGTTGGGGCTGGGGTGATGCAGAGGAAGTGCAGGAGGGGCTTTGTGGACAGACTCCTGAGCCCATCCCCACTGTGGGACGACAGATATGGCGCCAGAAGTCTTCTCTTGGTTCTAGGGCCATTTGTCTCCAAATGTTAACATATTTGTTCAATGATTAAATTAGCATTCATTATTAGATTAAAAGTCCTAGTGCCTGTTAGGGATGGCTTATATAAATGATACTCTTTTCTGACTGCTTGGATACTGGGGTGGGGGGAGGGAGTTAAAAACTTTGCAGAACCTCAAAATATTTTTCCAGGCCTGTTTTTGAAATATAAGTTCCACATGTTGGGTGATACTTTTCATTTTCCACTCTTCTTGCCATGAATGAGAAAGCATTCAACTGATGGGTGCATTTGGGGATTTGGGGAGGGAAGTAGCATCCTGTGAGCATGGTGGCTTTCTCCCAGGAACTCAGTCTCAGCACTAACC